TAGTGCTCTAGCTAACTCATGCACTAGACTCCTCACTACAGCACACGCTAAGTCTTCTGTCTTCACTAGCTCTCACCTGCTCATGTCATTACCGGCTGGTGACTGCCTTACAACCAACTAACTCTACTGCAACTCACTGTCACGCGCTGTCTACCGGATGTTGTGTAGCAATGGTTCCTTGCTTAATGATGTCACCACATATACTGTGCCATAACCTAGCAACGGCTCTCTCTCAGTTATCGCATCACAGTATGGATACCTGGATATGTGCAATGAAGGTGCAGTTAAGCAACACTACTAACTTGTCTGACATCCATTCAGACTTTGCTGCAATGCTAGATACATTATCAAGGAACTGGGAAGTACATATAATAGAAAAGACACTGTGACTGAGATCAAATCCAGAAGAACAGAATGACTAGGACATGTTCTGAGAATGGAGAGCAGTAGGGTGCCACAAAAAGTCCTGGATGGCAGACCTAAAGGGAAAAGAAGCATTGGGAGACCGAGACTAAGATGACCGGATGATGTGGTGAATGATTTAAGAAACATGGGAGAAAGGCAATGGAGAAATTAAGCTAAGATAAGTGAGAATCAGCAGGAATAGTGAGGGAGAACCATATAGCAAATAATTCACAAACAAGAGGAATGACACACCAAACTATATTTCCAAACATTTTTGCAAATTTCTTAATCAATGACAACTAACCAACATCCATGCTTCGAGAGTTGTTGGATATCTAGCAGTGTAAGCAATGTTAGTTACATCTGTACTTGTGAAATGACACCAAATTAAGTTTGAAATAATTACTTTACCGGAAAGCTGGTGTAAACTATAAAGTCTCAGGTTCTGTGGAATTTCAGAAACATTTATTTACTCTACACAAATATTTTGGGTGGGCAGAACCAAACAGCATGGCACTGGGCGATTCTCAATATCATTCGCAACCGACTCAAGCACATCTGCCCAACACACCACACTAGGGGGCAGGCCTATTTCAAATGGGACATATCCAGGCA